TTCACAGATGCTGCCAGACCTGCTGAGCTTTTCCAGCAACTTCTGTTTTTGTTCCTGATTTACAGCATCCACAGTTCTTTCGGTTTTCATTAATGGAGGCCATTTGGACCATTGTGGCTCTACTGGTTCTTTGGAAGATTTATCTAATGAGTCCCACTTTCCCCAAAACATCCTGCAGATCCTTTTCCAAATCATAATTGCTGTGAAAAAACAAAACTCCTCACCCTTCCTGTATTCCTGCCAGTTATTTTAAATCTGTGTCCTCTGATTATTGACCCTCCTACTGTTGAAACAGTTTCTTCCATTCTACTCAAATCAAAACCTTGCATGATTTTAAATGCCTCCATTAAATGTCCCCTTAACCATCTCTGCTACAAGGATAATAATCTGAGTTTTTTCAGTCAATGCATCCAACTGAATTTCCTGATCTTTGTTACCATTCCTGTAAAACCTTCCTTCACCTCTTCCAAGTCTAAAATGCATGGCTGGAATATTCTAGCAGGGTCTGAACCCAATTAGTTATGAAGGTTTCACATTACTCTAGTGCAATTGTGCCAGAAACTCCCAATCATGGTTATGTTTTATTGAAACAGCAGTACTTTGTGTTTGGTTGCTGAGTACCCATTGACCGGCTGGGTTGTAGGAAAGAGAAGCTACGGGAACGAATCAAAAAATATAATGTCAAACTTCTGAAGCGGTTTGATAGAATTATATGCTTCACTTTGTGGGGAGACCAGAATTAGGGTCCATGGATATAAGATGGTCATTCATTAATCCAGCCAGGAATTCAGTAAGAACTGCTGATGCTGGAGTCAGAGATAACACAGTATGGAGCTGGAGGAACACAGCAGGCCAGGCAACATCAGAGTAGAATGAAAGTTGATGTTTTGGGTTGGGGCCCTTCTTCAGGAGCAACCTGTTTATCCAAAGAGTGTAGAATAGTTGAGACAGAGTGTACATTTCACAGAATCCCTACAGTGTGGAAGCAGGCCCTTTGGCCCAACAAGTCCACACCAACCCTCAGAGCATCCCGCCCAGACCCATACTCTTATAACCCACCTAATCTACACATCCCTGAACACTACGGGCAATTTAGCATGGCCTTTTCACCTAACCTGCACATCTTTGGACTGTGGAAGGAAACCGGAGCAAACTCACGCAGACAAGGGGAGAATGTGCAAACTCCACACGGACAGTCCCCCAAGGCTGGAATCGAACCCAGGTCCCTGGTGCTGTGATGCAGCAGTACTAACCACTGAACCACCATGCCACCCTCCAGCTCTCTCCTCCACTTTAAGGGGAAGCTGGAGGAGAGAGAAAGGAAAAGGGAGATAAGGTGAGATGAAGATGAGTGGCTGGAGGCTCTTGCAGAGTAGAAACAGCAGCACGGTGATGTTAAGCTGAATGTGACAGTTCAATGCTTAAGATTCTGTCGCTATCTGTGGACACAATGACCTTTTGGTGATGACTAGCTTGTCTCAAATGTTAGAAATGGTCAATTGATTTTCCTTGAAACAATGGCGGTAGGATCTTTTATATCCACCTGAAAGAGTAGCGGCAAATTAAATTTAACATCTCATCTGAAAGATAGTTCCACACTCTCACAGGTACTATGTCAGGAGTGTCATCTGGTGTTATGATTGAGGATCTTTAAGGTTTTCAAAGAAGTTAGAAAGCAGATAGGGAGAAATCTTAAGGGAGTTTAGGACAAGGGGACATAACCTTAAAAATCTGAGCCAGAGAAGTCAGGATGCACTTCTTTACTCAGAGAGTAATGAATGTGGGGAATTCCATTTCACAGAAACCAATTGCTGCTGGGACTGGATTGAAATTAATTTTAAGCTCAGATGTTTGCTAACTAATGATGTTAAGAGAAATGGAGGCAAGGAAAGTGGATGGAGTTAAAATATGGATCAGCCGTGATCTCATTGAATGGCAGAAGAGACATGATAGACCAAATGGCATCCTCCTATTCCTAATACAAGCTGAAGTCTTCAAGGTGAGATTGTTGATGACTACAATCATAGGTGACACAGGAAGCAGTTTATCTTCCATTGTAAAATGGTAAACTTATGTTCTGTTGGCACACACACTATGGGCCAAATGGCTTCCTTCTGAGTAACATCTTCTCTGTTTCTATATTTCAGTTGGCTCTCAGATTCCATTTTCAGCCATTTACAAGACCAAAGCCTTCAAGGAGCCTGAGATTCAGGTGTACCTGTCTGGAGAACCAATCAATGTCCATGTTTTGGAGGTGGAACGATTCACATCAACATCAAAGGTGGGGTCTCTGCACAGGGAACTGAAATACAGTTTTAGTTCTGTCACTGCTATCTCTACTACTATTAACTACTCAGCACAAAATTTGTTTCTCATTTACTCATGGGATAGGGCATCATTGACTGCGTTAGCTTATTGCCTGTCCTTGAGAAGATGATGGTGAGCTGGTTTCTTGAACCACTGCAGTCCAGGTTAATCCACAAAGCCATTAGGAAGAGATTTCCGACTGAAGTCTCCCATCCCTTGTACCATTTGAGTACATCTTCACCATACACTGTCCAATGACTTGACATCCTTCCTGAAGTTTCATGTCCAGAACTGAACACTGAAGCTCTAACCAGTAATTTCTAAAGATTTAGCATGACTCCCTTGCTTTTCTGAACCATGCCTGTATGAACAAAGCCAAGAATCCAGTGTGATTTTTTTGGTGTCTGAACTTGACCTGTCACCTTCAAAGATTTCTCTACATATACACCAGCCATCACTGTTCCTGCAGTCCCATTCACCTTGTATCATTTAGGTCACATTTTGTCTCCTTGTCCTGCCTACTGAAATGGATCACTTTACAATTCTGCATTAAATTGCATTACCACGAGTCTGCTCAATTACCAACCTGTTTCTGTTCTCTTTATTGTTTATTACACATTTGCAAGGACATCCTATATATCCAAGTCGGGACGGTGGCTCCGTGGTGAGCACTGCTACCTCACAGCAGCGGGGATGTGGGTTTAGATTCTAGCCTCGGAAAAGTGTCAGCGTGGAGTTTGCACATTCTCCCCGTGTCGGCGTGGGTTTCCTCCGGGTGCTCCGGTTTCTCCCACTGCCCAAAGACGTGCAGGTTAAGCGGATTGGCCATGGGAAATGCAGGGTTACAGGGATACAGTGGGGTGTGGGTCTGGATGGGACACTCTTTGGAGAATTGGGGATCATAGACGAGATTTGTTGCATTTTCCATTCTTATTTCCCTTAGTAATGCCAGATGCATCCCATCAAGGAGATTGTTAGCACGCTGTACAGGCCAACAGTCGCAGTGCTGCACTCTGGGAGTGCTGCACGATTGGAGGTCCTGGCTTTCAATGAAACATTAGTCCATGACCCCAGTCTACTCTCTTTATTCTGCACTTGACCGCAGTGTGGAGCATTGAACAGCCATACTGCTTGGCATTGCTTTGTTATTCCAGTTCCTTGCATTTTTCAGAGTTGTTGCTATTAACCACAGTTCAGTTTCAATTTCTTATCCATTTGCATCACCAGGTCCCAAGCCCTAACATCTATACCATTGAATTGAAGCATGGAGAGTTCACCTGGAAGGTCAAGAGGAAATTCAAGCATTTTCAAGATCTTCACAGAGAGCTTCTCCGATACAAAGCCCTCCTCCGCCTGCCAATCCCAACACGCAGGTAATCTTAGTCTGGAACCATAAACCGAGAGTCACTGTAGATTGTTCACAGAGAACAGGATGTTGAAGGGTACACTCCCATTGCCTGTCCCTTTCTGTCCTTGTTGTTTTCCTCAAGAAAGAGTCTGTGGGAATGATGGTTGACCCAATAAGGATTCTACCCCTTTTTCTCCTGTTTGCTACCTCCTCTGCTAGTCTGGGCCAGGCCCCCTTTCACCCAGGTTTCTGGGTAGCAGTGTAGTGAGGCCACGGTAACTCAGTTGCACCCCCACACCATTGCAAACTCCAGCACTGAGGATGCTCCCCCTGAAACCTGAACTATTCACAACCTTTCGGAGAGACTGGGAATAGGGGGCATGAGAAAATGAATAAGGGAATCCAAAAGAGAGATTTTCAACTTAAACACCAACTGCAAAGCTGGCCATCCATTCTAGGAACTTCCAGTGCTTTTAACAGCAAGAAATTTCACTAAACCATGGAAAGCAGAAGAGGCCATTCACCCCCTTAAATCCATACTCCTTCAATTATACTTTTAACAATAACATTTGGATTTATTTGAGTTAATGAAGGGGAAGACTTTCAGACCCTACTTTGGATGTTCCAAATCTCTTGAATCACCTTGTTTTGAGTTTCTTCAATAACTCCTTTTGATCCCATCAAGTGTCATTTTCCTCTTCCCCATTGAACCTCACCTCCTGCCAGCTCCTCAGCTCTATAGACCATTAGACCACAGAATGCAGGGAGCAGAAATAGGCCATTCAGCCTAAGGAATCTGCTCTGCCATTCAATGAGACCACAGCTGATTTGATAATCCTCAAATCTACTTTCCTGCCTTTTCCCCATTATCCTTCATTCCCTTTGTATCCCCGGATGCTAACCTCTGGAATTTCCTCCCAAAACTTGTCCACCACTCCTTTAAAATATTTCTTAACATTGACCTCTTCAAATGGAGAATTTTTCACTAATCTATCTCTTCATGTGCTCAATGCCAGATTTTTGCTGGCTAATACTGCTGCGGGAAATTGATTTATTGACTGGTTGATTTATTGTCATATGTACCAAAGTACAGTGGAAAGCTTTATTTAGGAGCAGTACATAGTAAGCCAGGATGAACAGATCAAAGAGACTTAGACAGGAGCTACGATTTTAAAGAGTTACGTAAATGCAGGATGTTGTAGCAGTTGTTGAATCCATGAGATCCAATAGCCCCAGGCATGGGAATAGAATGATAGGAGTCGGAGAAGGCCATTCAGCCCTTCATTCTGTTGCACCACTCAATGAGATTATGGCTGATCTACATCTTACCTACGTTGGCCCCACACTCCACAATGTGCTTGTGTCTAGCAAAACCTGTTGACCTCTGCAGCTAGTTGTCAGAGTCAGTTCTGCACTTCTCCAATCTTTGTATAAAGACCTGTTTCCTAACTTCCCTTTTGAATGAGGAGCTGTGAAACGTGCTTGAAACCAACTGCTGCTTTAAGTTGTTGCAAGGAAAGGGGAACCCCCAACTTAACTCATAACCAGAATTATAAGGAAAGAGTTGAGTACACAAAGATCCTCTACAAGGTCACTCAGTCACACCGCAAAGCACGTCCCAAGCAATTAACTGTAGTCACAATTAAGGCATTTGTGCACAAAAACAAGGTCCAACAAGGTCAAAATGAAAGGGAAGGCCGGAGTCAAGGTGGAGATTGGGGTCAGTGTTCATCTCTAAATATTGCCTGTCTGCATGTGGGCCGTACTAAATTGCCCATAGTGGCTAGGAATACACAGGTTAGGTGGATAAGCCATGGAAAATGCAGAGTTACAGTGACTGGGTGGGGTGGGGGGGCGTGGGATGGATGCTCAACAGAGAGTCAGTGTGGACTTGTTGGGCCGAATGGCCTATTTCCACACTGAACGGATTCTATGATGAACAAGATCCCATTTTTTCCGGTCCTGATAGTCTAGGTTTCTCGTGATAGTTGAGAAAAAAATATAGTCCACAATTATTCCCTGCCCTTCCCAGAAACCTATTGAACTTTTAATGTCCGCTTGAACAGGAGGACGTTGTGTCGATGTAACCGGGGTAAAGAGCTGAGATATAATGATGGAATACTTTTGTGTTTTGATGAGTTCTGTTCACTTTAATGGAATGTGATACATTTTCACTGTAGGAGATAAAATAGGTGGAAAGTGCAGAGCCACCCTATGGGACTGACGTTGGGCTGAGCTGTCCTTTCTTGCGATGCACTTTGTGACAATGTTACCTTACAGTTTCACAGTGAGGAGACAGACGGTAAAGAGAGGGGAACCCCGGTCAATGCCTACTCTGCCTCGCAGTTCAGACCTCATCATTAGAGAGGAGCAGATCTCGAGCCGACGGGTAGGTTCCATATGGCAATGTGGCTGGATTACGGTACTGCTTGGGGGCTAATTCTACATATCCATAAAGATGCCAGCTACATGAGCAGTTGCCAGAGCCAGGTGTTTGTAGATCAGTTTCTAGCCTGGCATGGCTTCAATTTTAAATTTCTCCCATCTGTTTTACAAATGCTTCAGTGCCATGTCTGCTTCCTATCTCTGTGACCTCTTCCATCTTTTTTGTCACTCTAAGATCATAAGAACTAGGAGCAGGAGTAGGCCATTCAGCCCATCTATGGCATTCAATAAGATCATAGCTGATTTGACTGTGCTCTTAACATCACATTGCTGCCAGTTCCCCTTGGACTCTCTTTCCCATCGAAAATCTGCCTAACTCAATCCTGACTGTATTGAATAACCAAACCTCTTGTGAAGATATTTTATTGCATTAAATATCCCTAAAGGACTAAAATCCTTCCAACATCCTTATACACCTGGAATAAAACAGCCCTTAATCACCTCTAATCAAGAAGTACAAACTTAGTATGTGTAACCTGATTAAGGCTTGTTGACCACAAACTCTGCATTAAACTTGGTCAATGTGACTCCATGTAATATTAGGCCTTAAACATATGGGATGTTTCTCGCAGTGGGCAGGATTTAACATAAATTTAGAGGTAGTGGGATGTGGTAGAACATTTAATCAGGAGGGTGAGGGATCAGTGGCCATCCCAATTCCTTCCTGCCTCTGCCCCAATTTTGCTTATGGCTAAAGAGGTCATGAATAGCCTTCTTGCACAGTACCAACACACAACTTAAACTGGGCAATTGGTGCCCTACTATGTACCTCATCACAGAAGTGCTGCTTATGGACCAGCTGTAGGTGAGGCAATCACCATTGCTGAAAGCCCAAAATTTTATAGTTTTATTGTGAACTCCTGGGGGGCGGAGAGAAGTCCTCATTGTCAGGCACCAAGTGCATGATTAAGGAACATGGCACATAACTGGGGTCAGAGGGATGGCCTCCTGATAGAAACCATCTCCACCATTTATTCTGAACTACCTAGTCAGCAACACCCTCCTACCATCACTCCCATGTGGCTTGGAGCCCTTGTTAATCCTGGGCCTTTGGAATTCACCCCTCTCCCACCCTCCCACCTTTCTCTGTGTCAGAGGGACAACCCTCTGCTGGCCACCTAGTGTCTGATTGGCACTTAACTGGCATCCCTTCCTTATTTGAGTTTCTAGCTGGCAGGCAATGCCTTCAGTGCCTGGATGAAATTCCACCCACTCAAACTTGCAACAAGAACTCATTTTTTGGCATTTGTTCATGGGATGTTATTGTTACTAGATGTTGTGCCTATTCCCAACTGCCCAGAGTCAACCACATTGCTGTAGGTTTGGAGTCACATGTAAACCAGACTAAGTAAGGAAGGCAGATTTCCCTCCCTAAGGCGCATTAGTGAACCAGACAGGTTTTTATGACAATTGATGTCATGGTCACCATTCAGCTAACTTTTTATTCCAGGTTTTTGTTGACTTCAATTTTCATCAGCTCTCACGATAGTGGGATATAAACCTATGTCCAGAACTTTACTCTGTGGTTCTGGATTATTAATCTAGTGACATCATCACAATGTCAAAGTCTCTCATTAACTCACATTTAAGTAATGTGATAAAATGCCCCAAGCTGATGCATGGGCCTTGAATCAGGCACAATTTATCACTGAGATACACATGGGTCTATCAGGAGAAATGTCCACAAGCTCAGTCACGGAGATGGTTTTAAGAGGAGACTCAACGGAGAAGAGATATATGGAGCTTTGGGGAGGAAATTCCAGAGATTAATTCCTTGGCAGCTGATAACACAACAAGGAAAGATGGACTGAAATCTGTGATTCTCAAGGAACCAGAATCGGAGAAACGTGGGGATCTTGGATTGCAGTTGATGTTAAACAGTTACCAATTGGGGAGAGTGTGGGTCAGGTTAGGATGACCAGATCACTTCCTTAAATGATATTAGAGAACCAGTTGAGTTTTTACAGCAATGCAAATACTTCTTGCTCACTGTTAAGAGTATTTTACTGACTGACATTTTGCTGTAATTCAATCAATTTGAATTTTTTTATATTTCTGTGATGGGATTTGAACTTACATTATCTGGATGATTAAACCTATGATGTAAGCACTTTTCCTGTATTCTCTCGTACATGGCATGTTCCTTGATCAGTGTATGAATGCAAACAGCTGATCTCTTTTTTAATTCATATTTTCTGAAATCTTTTCCTTCCATTCACAGAAACAACTGGAAGATTACTTGACCAAGCTGCTGAAGATGCCCATGTACAGGAATTACCAAGCGACGGTAAGCCCTCTCCCTGCTGTCCATATTATTCCTGTTGATTGAGGTGTTACACTGATGCCCAGCGTTGTGAAGTGTCCCTCAGCACACTCTTCTCAGTAAAGCTCTTTCTCCCCATTCCCTGACTGACTACCATCATTGAGCATCAGAGGAGCAGGAAGGCTGACGTTTC